CTTTGTCTTGTACTTGGTAGGTACTCCAGTTCGTTTGAATTAAAATTAAAGCTATTAACCTTGAGAAATGCGGTTGTTCGTTTGGAGTACTCTATCTGGCAGATTACGAACCGAATACAGCCTGTCCGGCCCTCTTCCTTTGTGAAGGGGAGCACATGGAAGAGATTTGGTGGGGAAAGTGCTGGATGGGAGTCTTGGGTTCAAATCTGTTCTGCCACCTAAAACCTGTGTTTCACAGCCACGTGCCTCAGTTTCCTCATCTGCCAGATCAAATGTTCGGGTGATACAGCCCCTTCCAGCTGTGTTTCCTATGTATGATGCTGTATAACACCACTACCCCAGAGTCTGCTGTGCCTCAGCTGTCGCTCACGTAGTAACCTTCAAGTGCTGCCTAGCGCTGCTCTTGGAGGTGACCCAGGGGCGCACAACTCGGGGGCCCTGGCGCTGGCCCAGCGTGGCCTTGGGTTCTCTGCTCCCACCTCGGGAGCCCGGACGCCCCGCACCCTTTCCCCGCGCACCGCGGCCCCGCGGGGGGCGCTCGCCGCGTCCCCGGGGCCCCAGCAGGAGGCGGGGCTGGGGCTGGCGGGCTAGGCGACCGCGGACATCCAGCCCACCGCGGCGGCGGAGAGACGAGCATGGAGCCCGAGGACGCGCCCAGAGCAGCAGGTAAGGGGAAGCCTCTCGGTCCCGGCGCCGGCCTGCGGCCGGCCGCTGGAAGCCGGCCATCTCCCCGGGGCCGAAGCGCGCCTAGGGCGCGGCGCCGCAGCCGGGCTGGCCCCACCCCCGGCGGGCGTCTCGGGTTTCAATGGCACGGCCCCGCTCGCGAAAGCTCTGGGGGCCCCAGCGCTGCAAAACAAGACCGTAAACACGTCGCGGAGTCCAGGAAAAACTTTCCCCAGAATCTGTGCAGAATAAACAATCGAAAGCCCAAACCAAACACCCGCACCTGTCGAAACACTCGAGCACAACTTGGAGCCCGCCGTCCTTAGCCTGGAGATGTGGGTTGGTCCGAGTTCACGGCCGAGTTTATCCCCTCGCAGCCCTCTACGCGATCGGGTAACCTCGGCGAGCGAGGGCAAAGCAAACCCCGAACGCCCCCTACCCCAAACAGCCGTGCAATGGAACCCGAGAAGCTCCAGAGCAGCCCGGAGCGCCCGAGCTAGGTTTAAAAGCAAACCAAACAGCCTCGCACGGATAAAACGCCAGCTTAAATTAATGGGCTTGCGAGGGGCTTTGAGGGTTAGTGAGCAGACGAGAGCCCTGCCAAAGTAGGGGGGAGGGGGCTGGGCAGAAGACAGGGGAGGGAATTCCAGAGACAACTCCACGGAAAAGCCCGGGGTTTGGCATTTGCAAACTTAGGCAGAAACGTGTAGGCTGCTTTTTAATGTCCAGTCTTGAATTTTGCAGCAGGCAAAGGGAGATGTTTTCAGAAGTAGGCAGGTCGGGGTTGCATAATTGTTAGCTGAAGTTGATTTCAGGACTTTTGGAGGCCCTGGTGGCTTTCCAACCTATTCCCCCTTCCCTTCCCCGCCAAAAGTTCAAAGTCAGGACATCGGAGAGGATACGGAAGTTTTACCCAAGGGGGGCACTATCTTTTCCAGGTATTTAAGCGGCTAAGGCCAAAGGCTAGCTCAAAGGTTTGTCTCAACTTTAGCCCTGAGTGATGCAAGCAGGACTGAGGCAGGTAGAGCAGGAGGAAATAAAGACAAAAAAAGTGCACAAGGGAGTGGAGTGGGTGACGGAAGGGGTGAGTGCTGCTGCCAGTAATCCCCTTGGAGGCCACTCGGGGTATTTGCTTTAGGCACCTCCAAACCAAGAACAAAGGTTAGGTCTCAGAACTGCCAGGAATCCTGCAACTTCAGCTCCAATGAATAGCTCTGTGGAGTGCCTATCTGTGCTGGACAGTCTTCTTTTCTAGGACTCCATGTTTAAGATGGCACTTTTAAATATCTGCTGGTTTTTAGCCTAATTTCTGGACAGTGTAGGGGACAAAGAACAGACTATTCCAGGGAAGTGGGACTACTTCCTGTCTGTGGACAGTTTGCACGGTAGGTTAGAATCTGGTGACATTAGAGCTGGGGTCATAGGTTGGATTCTCAGTAGTCAGTTGGCTTTGTTCTGTTGCGTGGTCACAGACTGTCCCCCTGACCCCAGCCACACTTGTCTTGCAAGTGCACGCTGACCTTAACAAAGAGCCATCAGGCAGTAAAACATAGAAGAGTCAGTACAAACCACCGGTGCCCCTAGGAAAGTAAGTCAAAGAGCAGGAGCTACTGAGGGTGGATAAGGGGTGTCATCCGTTTGTGTGAAGGACAGCACATGGGACAAAGAAACAAAGTTGCTTTTGCCAATTGGTGGGTTCCAGAACCCCTCCCCCTCCCTCTAACTTTAGTGTTTTGGGCAACTGCCAAGCTCTCCCCGAGTGCAGTGCCAATGTCTGCATGGATATTTGGGTGGGTGAATGCTAGTGTTTCGACTGCTCTTGTCATTAGTGCACCTGGTAGGAACAACTTTCCGGCAGAAACAAGAGCCTTGGGGGTTTGTTGATATACTTCTCCAGGCAGCACTGGGAATTGTTTTCAAAACCCCTGTCACCTCATCACCTCTTTACTGTTCCTCTATTCTCTTGAGCCCGTCTCCAGATAGGTCAATGCAGCATCTTTCAGGAGGAGTGAATAAAGAGGAAACAAACTTCATTTGACGGGAAGTCTATATTGGACAAGCTTTGTTTCACGTCAGTGGATCTGGCTCTCTTAGACATTGAGTATAAATCCGGGGTATCAGAAATTTAAATCTAGCAAAAGTGGCTCGTTGTTGGACTTTTTTTTTTTTCTTTTTGTTGATCTGTCCTGTTCCTATGCTTTAATCCGGTCTCTTTAAATTCCTATCATGGTCACTGAAAATAGTACATTTAATCATAGTTTACATTGCTTAAAGGTTTACACGTTGCTCTCCCCTGTGTTATCTGTGAGGCAGGGAATGCAGCTATTATCATCCTGTTTTGCTGTTGTTGTTTTGTTGTTCCCTTTGGGTCTAGACCAGCGGTGGGGAACCTGTAGCCTTGAGGCCACATGTGGCCTTCTAAGTTCTCAGGTGCAGCCCTTTGACTGAGTCCAAGTTTTAAGGAACAAATCCTTTTATTAAGGGGATTTGTTCTGTGAAATTTGGATTCAGTCAAAGGGCCTCACTTGAGGACCTAGAGGGCCACATGTGGCCTTGAGGCGGCAGGTTCCCCTCCCCTGGTAGACCCTCCATCAGTGGAGTGAACTCTAAAGATAAGCCAACCAGATTAGAACTGTTCTGCACCTTACATTCTAAGAAAATTGTCTGTGGCACTGAGAAAATTAAGTGACTTTCTGTTGTTAGATCAGACCTAGTGGTCTTGAGACCACCATGACTATCTTCCCTTAAGGGAGGATGTAGTTCATAGAATATATGCATGGAAACCGTTGTTATAAGATTAGGCCATGGAAAAATATTGACAGTAATATTTTAAAGATTAATACAGCTGTGTGTCCAAAAATAATATTTTGCCAACTACCAGTTTGTCTTCCCCCCTGCACCTGTGTACCTCAGAAATCCCCTGTGTACTCTGAACCTTGACATGCAAATCAGCCAGCTTTAGGTGGCCACCCAAATCTGGGTTTAAGTGTCCAGTTCTCAGAAGGGCACTTTGGGAGTCCATCTCCCCTCCCTGGGAGCATATCTCCCCCTTCCAGGAATATGCAGCTCCCATGGGAGCAAGCCTTCCCACCTGAATGGGCCACTTGAATGGCCCCAAGTTTGTGTGTGTGTGTGTGTGTGTGTGTGTGTGTGTGTGTGTGTTTCAGCTGTATTTTGGGTCCTTTTCTCTCTCTTCCCTTCCTTCCTCCTCCCTACTCCCCAATTCTTCCCTATCATTTGACAGTAAAGCTTGAGTATTGAGCTGGTCCCATTATTACAACATATTATTCACAGCAACTGAACCCATTAAGGGATTTGTTCTCCCTGTTGTCTCTGACTGGCTCACAAGACTTTCTTTAGATAAAAACTGGGTCCCTGGACATGAACTTTCCCTTTTGACAGCCCTACCTATGGTGGGGACTTAAGCACTTTGAGTCCAGTTTTAAAACGTAAGGGTCAGTGGGGAAAGTCTGTGTCCTCCTAGGAGGGGTTACTTCATGCCAAAGGACTGTCACAAGACACTTACCCAGGGTTGAATAGCTGGTATGTTCCAGAAGTAGAACTTGAACCAAGGTTTTTCTGACTTAGAGGCTGACACTTCATCCTCCCACTGTCCAAGCTATCCCCATTGTTTAGATCAGTAAATTAGGGCCCTGAGATGTTAAATAATTTCTCGTAACTAAAGAAATCTGGTATTAGGACGCAGTTCTGATATGCAGGGTTTATTTTAATCATAATATCAACAACAACTTCATTTTCAGTATACCGTCTTTTTTCCATACCATTCTGGGTAGGAAACAGTCCTTGGACACTCAACACTTTCTCTCCCATGTCCCAGCTCTTCATCTGGAAGCTTCGTTCCACCTCTGGAAGTACACCCCTGCAATCTCTCCCCCCTGGTTGAGTGGCCTCCCTCCACCACCTCCCCTCTCCCACCTCCATTTGATGACTGTTCTGGCCAGCTGTGCCTCATTCCTCTACAGGAAGCACTCAAGATTTCCTCAGCCATGGATACCTTTTTCTCTTCCCCCATCCCCTTTTAGCTTCCTTTTATGTATGTCAGTCCTCAGCTGGGCCATCACCAATTGTCTTGCCACTGGACTCAGATGACTCTGGAGGAGAAAGTGGGACTGGATGACTTTGCGCAGCCCTGCCTCACTTAAATCTAATTCAGTTCCAAGTCAAGATATTACCCTCCTGATGTCATTGGTCCTCTTCAATAATGAAGGAAGAGGGGCAGGTAGGTGGCACAGTGGATAGAGCACTGGCCCTGAAGTCAGGAGGACTCGAGTTCAAATGTGACCTCGAGTTCAAATGTGACCTCAGACACTTGACACTCACTAGCTGGGTGACCCTGGGCAAGTCACTTAACCCCATTGCCTAGACAAAAAAAAGAAGAAGAAGGAACAACAATGATCCTCAACATTCCTGCCTTTAACTTTCTCCACTTCAGGCCTTTGTGTGATTTTGTTAGTAACTTCATTTTCACTTTCCTGCTGACAAGCATGTGCATGGGAGACTCAATTTGAAGCCACAAAGGTCCCACCTCCCAGCGGCCCATGCTGCCTCGATTCAGTCAGAGCACTGAGGCCTGCCCCCCTCATCCAGTTGTTGGAGAACCACATGGCAGGAGAGCCATGCCAGGTAAGAGTCCTGAGCTTGGACCTGGGGATTTAGCCTGAGGCGTCTACTTTTTATCCTGCAACAGGTCTACTACCTAGCTGAAAGAGAAATTAGAGATGGCAGGTTGTTCCTTTCCCTTTTTTTACCTGGGGGTTCTTTAGACATTGCTGCCCCTGCCCCTCCCTGACCTCTCTAGCCTTACCTTTCCTCTTCCCTGCCTTTTATGGGTTATTTTATGGTTGCTGTGTTAGGAAAAGTACATATTATCAGAATTAATGTTTTGTTAAGAATTGTATGCAGAAAAATATATTTTCAGCAATCCCTAGCAAACACTTAATGGTTTTTGGTGATTGGGGGAACCTAACCCCTTATTTCCCAAAGGTTCAGTGTATCAACATTTGTATTTCTTACTTTCCTGCAGTGTTCTAGGAACCTTGTCCCTGAAAAAGTTGAGGATTGACTCTAGTGTCTTTCTCCATTAGAATATAAGCCCCTTGAGGGCAGGGACTGTCTGTCTTTCTACTTGTATTTTTATTCCTAGCACTTAGCACAATACTTGGCATATAGTAAGCACTTAATAAATGCTAGGTAACTAACACAACTAAAACAAACCAAACAAATCTATGCTGCTGAAAGAGAAGACTTCTTTTCTTTTCTCTCTTTTTTTTTTCCTTTTTAAAGGAAACATAAAAGTGGAATTTTCATCATTGCTGCTCATCAAAATCAAAGACCTCCAAAGAGATAGATTTGAGAATAATAATAATAATGAAGATAAAAATAGCTAATGCATATGTAAATAAATATATACACATAATACACACACATATCCATATACATATATACACACAAATGTGTGTGTGTGTATGAGACTTACTATGTTGCAGGCACTGTGCTAAGCACTTTACAGTTATCTAATTTGATCCTCACAACAACCCTGGAAGATTGGTTTTATTATTATTCCCCATTTCATAGATTTAGAAACTTAGTCAAACTAAAGTTAAGTGACTTGCCCAGGGTCACACAATTAGTAAGTGTTTGAGGGAAGGGAACAACTGAAGGTGGTGCCCAAGAAGTTTTAGATTTCTGGACCACAGCTTAAAACAGGAAAGATAGATTCTTGGCTAGTAATGAATTATACCTAACTCTGGAAGCCTTGCAAATCTAATGAAGAGGGTTATTAACTGAAAATAAAAGGAGAGAGAGAGAAAAAAAATCTCCATGGCCTACTAAGCTAGGTACCATAGATGGTAGCCGCCATAGAGACACTCAGAAACTTACTGGATGCAAATCCATTAAAACCAGCATACAATTTATAATCTCAAATATCTGTGCACAATGTATGGGTAACAATCAACAAGCATTTATTAAATGCTTGATGTGTGCCAGGCACTGTACTAAGCTCTGGGAATACAAAGACAAAAACAAAACGAAATAATTCTTGTTCTCAAGGACCTTACACACTATTAGGAAATAGATATATCTTAAGGATTAGATAGTAGATACCTCTATTAGGGGATAGAGACACTTACAGATATGTCTTTAAGTAGAGCTAGGGGATAGGGATATACACGTATATATCTATATATGTACACATATAAAGTATATGTAGAATAAATTCAAAATAAATACAATGAAGTTATGGAGGGAGACTTACAGCATGAAGGAGGAGGTCAAGGAGGTGCTTAAGTTAGGTCTTGAAGGAAATGATGGATTCTATGAAGACACAAAGTCAGGAACATGATAGATTGAGTGTTGTTATTCTTGAGGAGAAGAGAGAAGGTCAGTTTGTCTGGACTGTAGACCTTGAATAAGAGTAGTGTATTTTGAAGCTGGAAAGATAGATTGGGGCCAGGTTGTGGAGGGCTTTAAAAATTAAACAGAAAAGTTTACTTAGAGATTATGATTAAGTAAGAGAATGACATAGTCCAACTTGTGCTTGAGGACAATAACTCTCGGTCTACTATCTAAAACACGTGAACAACAGAGTCTAATTTAGGGAGGTACATTTTACCTCCGAGGTATCATTGAGACTTAGTGGAATTCGACTCATGACTGGATTATGACTTTGGAAGTATAGATCCTGTTCAAAAGAACAGGATAGATAAAAGGTACGCTTGTGTGATGAACTCTAGAAACTGGGGAGGGGGTAGAGTGTAGAGAAGTGTAGAGAGCATTTGGGTGAAGACCAGTGGAGGCAGAAACACAATCATTATTGTTATAGGTGGTCTACAATTGGAGTATTTTGTAGACCACCTATACACAAAGAGAAAATGGGTAAGAAGTTCAGGAAATAGAAGGAGCCTGGCATGGGGGAAGCATAGTACTGGTGGAGGACTTAATTTTTTGAACATCTGCTAAAGCTCTTTTCTCCAGAGAGCTGGTAGTCGAGGAGCTATCATTTTCTTCATTTTTTTAAATGATAATTTGGATAGAATACTGTATTTTGAATCAGGGGGATAAGAGTTTGAATCCTACATCAAACATTAGCTGTGTGACTTTGGATGAGTCAAGTCAAATCAACAAGCAATTATTAAACACCTACTGTGTATCAGCCAGGCCTGGTAGGTTACACAGTGGGATAGAAGGCCGGGGCTGGAGTCAGGAAGACTCATGTTCCAGAGTTCACATTTGGCTTCAGACATGTATTAGCTACATGACCCTGAGTAAGTCATTTAACCCTGTTTGTCTCAGTTTCCTCATCTGTAAAATAAACTGGAGAAGGAAATGGCAAACTGCTTTAGTATCTTTGCCAAGAAAAACTCCAATGGGGTCATGAAAAGTCAGACACAACTGAAATAACTGACTGAATAAGTGCATCAGACACAGTGGTAAACTCTAGTGATACAAATAATTTCAAAAACTGTTCCAGCCCTACTGGAGCTTATAATCTAATGGGAGAGGCAACAGACAAGCAACTATGCATAAATAAGATATATATCTTTATCTGTATATTTATATATACACATATATTAATGTATATATGTATCTTGTGTTTATATGTGTGTGTATATATACATATATATGTATATGTGTGTGTATATATATATATAGTGTGTGTGTGTGTGATAGATTGGAGATAATCTCAGAAGGAAGGCACTAGTATTAACCTTAATTGGCAAGTTATCCAACCTCACCAGGACCAAGTTTCTTCATCCATGTTTAAGGTCCTTTCGAGCTTTAAATCTCTGATTCTGTAATACTATGAACTTCACTCCAAAAGATGAAGGAACTAAGGAGGATATTGCTATTCTGACCGGATTCTCAACGATAAAGAAGAAAGAACACAGACTGTGGAGTCAGAGGACTGACCTTTAGATTCCATCTTTGATACTCTACCACCTGTGTGACCTTGGAAAAATCAATTTATTGGGAGCTGTCAGTTTTTTCAGATGTAAAATGAGTGGGGTAGACTAAATGTCTTCTGAGATTCCTTCCAGTTTTAGATCTATGATGCTGTGAATTGTATGCCGAAGGAGAAATGATGAGGACCTTGGAGGAAAGTGACCACTCTATCTTAGAATTTTTGATAAAGAATGAAAGAAAAGCTGGGCATAGTCTAACCAGCACCTTTTGTTTTTGGAAAGTATTTTTAATTGTTTGGAGAAACAACAGGGTAGGATCCCATAGTCCACAGTTCTACAGAGAAAGGGATTAGAAGCCTTCAAGGATGAAATTCTAAACACACACACACACACACAATGAGGAAAAGAAGAAGGGAAATTGTTTAATGTATTTTATTCATATACACAGGGAGCTTATCTGTGAACTTAGATTTTATTTTTTGTGTTTTTAAATTTTTATTTATTGGCTAGGCAGTGGGGTTAAGTGACTTGCCCAGGGTCACACAGCTGGTAAGTGTTATGTGTCTGAGGCTGGATTTGAACTCAGGTACTCCTGAACCCAGGGCCAGTGCTGTATCCACTGTGCCAGCTAGCTGCCCTATGAACTTAGATTTTAAAATGACAGAGAGAAGATAGACCAAGACCATATAACAAGGTAAATACAAAAGTGTGGCATGGTCCTGGAAAAAGAGACAGGGTACTAAAGTACAGAATGAACTGATGCCATTGAGGAAATTAAGGACAACAAAAAGCTCTTGGGGGGTGGTATAGAGAAGTGCAGTAAGTGGAGTTAGCTATTTGGAGGGAAAAGAAGAGTATCAATGAAAAGATTGGACTGTTGCTTGCAATAGATGGGATGATGGCATTTTCTCTGGTTGTTCATCCCTGGGATGCTCCATCCCCTCATCTCTCCCTGACTTTCTTCAAGTTCCATTTAAAATCCCACCTTGTACTGGAAGCCTTTCCCAACACCTCTTAATTCTAGTGCCTTCACTTTTAATTATTTTTTCCTATTTATCTTGGATAAGACTTGTTTGTACATATTTATTTTGTTTGTTGTCTCTTCCAGTAGATTGTGAACACCTTTAAGGCAGGGACCATCTTTTGCTTCTTTTGTACCTGGCACGTGTAGGTATTTAGTGAATGTTGGTTGATTGATTGATTGGTGGTCACAGACTATGGAGAAAAGATAGAATTACTCAACAGTTATTTGCATATGTTTTCTCTGCCAAGAACCTCTGGATAGTAAAAGATAGAAAAAGTACTAATAGTGACTTGAGACCCAAGTTGAGTAGGGAATAGAGCTTCCCTTGATGAGTTCAAGTCATCAAATCTCGATAAACTGTATCTGAGGGGACTGAAAAAATAGATAGATGTTGTTGCTTAGAATGGTACCACTGTACCATTCTAAAGAATACAGGATTAAGAGTTGGAGGGCTTGGTTCAAATCCCAGCTCTATGGCTCTCCCCATCTTAAATATAAAGGAGTGGGATTAAATGACCTGTAAGGCCCCTTCCAGCTTTAACTCTTATGATCCTCTGATCTTTGAAAGATTCTGGCGAATGGGTGAGATGCTACAGAATGGAAGAAGGGTGAGCTTATTTTCACAAAAGAGAAGAGAATAGAGTATCTAAGCTATTAGCTAGTGAACTTGACTTTGATTCCTGGTAAAATTCAAT